GTATATGTATTAGTGTGTATGTATGTATACATATATATCTCCAAACATAAAAGGTATGTAGCTAACTAGCTATATTCCAAGTATTCTGTCAGTAGGAAGAATTATGAAAAAAATCAAGTGATATATATCCAGTTATCTACAGAGGGTGCCAAAAAAATGTATATACATTTTAAGAAAGTGAAAAACTATTAAAATTGTAATACTGAATATATACCAATAACAAAAGATGAATACAAGTCATGAGTATACACTTCTTTGGCACCCCCGGTATATCTGCTATATATATATCAATTATTATAGCAATTAGGAAGAACATGAAAAAAATCAAGTGGAGGATTAAGAGACATATTTCCTATTTGTCCTAAAATACCCATTCTTCTAGTGTACTAAAGGAACATTTAAAAGTCTAGGATTTAAATATTCAGGGCAATAAAATGGCCTACTTATAGAGAAATACACTCCTTATTAAAAGCCTCATGTCATGCTTGAATTTGTGTTAAAATAGATAATGTCATTTTTTTCAGTTTTGTTTGTAATATTTCTCAAATGTTAAGAATATTAAGATGTCCTAGCCACAGTAATCAGACAAGAAGAAATAAAAGACATCCAAATTGTAAAGGAAGAGGTAAAATTGTCATTATTTGCAGATTACTGTTGGGTTGTCGGAAAAGTCATGACATATTTTTTCTGTTTTTCGTCGCAAAATGCGTCATGACTTTTCTGACAATCCAATATATATGTTGAGAACCCTGAAGATTCCACCAAAAACTGTAGAACTGATAAATGAATTCAGTAAAGTAGCAGGATACAAAATTAATATTCAAAAATTGGTTTGCATTTTTATACACCAGTAATGAACTGTCAGAAAGAGAAATTAAGAAAACAATTGCATTTACAGTTGCATAAAAAAATAAATCTAGGAATAAGTTTAACCAAGGAGGTAAAAGACCTGTACTCAGAAAATTATAAGAAATTGAAAAATAAATAAATGAAAGCATATACCATGCTCATGGATAGGAAGAATTAACATCATTAAAATGTCTAACTACCCAAAGCAATCTATAGATTTAATGCGATCCCTTAAAAAAAAACAATATTTTATAGCACTTTTTATCAAAATAATCAATATTCCTTTTCAACTGTAGTAATAATCCTGTATGTAAGATTTGTTCCTGGTCTTCGTTTCTTTTTCTTTTTTTTTGCTTTGGCTTTCACTTGCTATTTATATATTTTATGACCTAACTCCATCTGATTTTTATAAAAACAGACTATGTAAATGTTTTGATAATAAAAATTCTTAAAGTTTATCCGAACTCACTACTTGTTGATAAATAAATGCCATTTCTCTGTTAGTTACTCCCTCTCAATCTCAGAAATACTTTTATTAGAAATAATAGGAAAGTAGACTTTTAATTCTTTCCTCACGTAATAGTGATTCTTGTGTATGTGTATGGAAAATTGGAATCTCTGACTCAGGTATTCTTACCTGTAATCAAGTATTAGGAACATTCATGATTTTGTAAAATAATGTGACTTATTATATTAACAGAATTGTTCATATATTTGAGTTATATGCCTTGAAAAAACTTGCAAGTAGATAATCCTTGCTAACAAGGTTTGCATGTATTTTCAAGATTGTGTTTTTTATGGGACAGATTATGTCATTGTAAGTAATTTTTATTTTAACAGCATTGGGGACATCATAGATCACTATCGAAAAGAACAAATCGTTGAAGGTTATTATCTTAAGGAACCTGTACCAATGCAGGTCAGTGCAATAATTAGCATTTTACTTTAAAATGTGTTATTGGTGGTATGTTTATGTACATACTCATGCATTTAAAATTGGATGAAATTTAATGCTGCGGATTATTCAAATTCTTTCAGAAAATAAATGTAAGAGAATCTCTTAGTTTTTATTTATGTTGGTTTTAGATAATTAAGAAGTCCTGGTGGCTTTTTGAGAATAGAAGCAGTGGTGGGGGCAGAAACCAAGTTGCACTGGGTGAAGGAGTGAGTTTGTTGGCGGCAAAAGTGGAGACAGTAAGGAGAAATCACAGCCAGGCTTATCTAGGTGAGCTTGGTAAGTAAAATAAATTATAGCCAGAAGAAAATGTAGGGCCAAGAGGGCTTTAAACTTTTTATTTGTTTGTTTCTTTATGTTTGGTTTTATGGTTAGAGACTTTTGAGCATGTCTGTATGCTCTGGGTGAAGCCAGTTGTAAAGAGGAGAGTGACAGTGGTGGGGTGAGGGATAGGTAGTGACAGTACCTGATGTATAAGGTCCTAGAGAAGGCAAGAGTGACTAAAATCCAGAATACGAGGAAAAATTGGCCTTGAACAGGAGAGCCTGCTGAAAATTAGTTGCTTAATTCATAGGGAGATCAATTAGCCAGTGTTTCTTTCTCATACTTTCTGAAGTTTGGGTGGGAAAGGTTGTAGCAGGGTTTAAAAAGATACTGTCATGTGCTGCTCAATGTCGGGGATACATTCTGAGAAATGCATTGCTAGGTGATGTGGTCTTTGTGTGATCATCATATGGTGTAATTACACAAACCTATATGGGATAGCCTACTACACACCTAGGCTGTATAGTATAGCCTGTTGCTCCTGGGCTACAAATCTGCACAGCACGTTGCTGTACAAAACAACGCGAGATTAAATCAAGCACAAGAGAAATGATATAGTCAAGAAATGTGGTAAACATGAGATGTATGAGGCTGCTGCTGGCATAACACAGGATACTGTGGTACAGAAAACTTTTTTTATAAGTGGAAAGAGTACATTCTAAAATAACAGTAAAAAGTCTAGTAAATACAGAAACCAGTAATATACTTGTTTATTGTCAAGTAGTATGTGCTGTACATAATTTTACGTGCTATACTTTTATATGACTGATGGCGCAGTAAGTTTGTTAACCACGGCATCATCACAGACACGTGGTAGTGTGTGGTGCTGCCATATTGTGACATCTGCAACATCTACAACCTCACTAAGCAACAGGAGTGCTTCAGCTCCATTATAATCTGACATGTGATCCTTCGTTACGCAGTGCTTGACTGTAGTTCAAAAGAGTGGAAAGTGGAGGTAGTGATATTCCCAGGGACATAAAGGATGGCAAGAGGTTTTGCTTACTACCCAACTAAACTTGTACAGTGATTTCTATTGTCTCTAGCTTCTCGATTTTCCCTCATCCTAAAAAGTTAGTTTCAGATTATTACTACTCATTGCAGTTGCTGAGGGGGGAATCATTATTCTGATGCTTAATATAAATTCAAGAATTACCATAATCTTGTCACATTTTTATATATCTTGCTTTATTTGCTCATGCTTTTCTGGTAGAATCACAAGGGCAGGGGCTTTGTGTTGTATTCCCAGTTCCTAGAATAGCACCTGGTATTAGGTATTCCACCAGTAAATTGAGTGAATGACTGTCTGCTCTCTAGCAGGAAGCACCCATTTCACCCTCTATATTCTCACTGTGTCTTAATCTCATTGTGCTTGTTGCTATCTCCATGTCAGTCTCTTCCTCTGTCTTTCTAAATACTGCTAGTTTATGATCCACCTCAAGTTTCATTTCCCCAATACCTTCTTAATTAATACCTGGTCAGCATTGATGGACCACTTTTGTTGGCACTTCTGGCAGACCTTGGCTGTTCATTATTCTAATTACTGCATATGGAAAACTGACTTTTTAAAATTTAACCTCATAGTGTGGCGTGTGCTTTCTAGAAACCACTGCTCAGGGTCTTTTTATTCGTGGTCAGAGGTGCCTGTACCTCCAGATGACACGCCCCGCCACTCATTCCCATTGCTGTATTATTCATTGTAATTCACATTGGCTGTTTGAGTTAATGATGGTTTAAATTTGTTTCATAAGTCCACAAACTGTCTACAGATTAAGTCGTGCATTTTTTCTCTTCATGACTGTGCTTAGAATTTTCTAACTTAATTTCTACAGTTAGAGAAACAAGCAGCATGTGGCTTTCATGCTTGTTACGAAGTTGTTCTAAGAATTCAGATACGCAGTGCGCCCTGCTCTTACTTGTGTTACTGTTTCATCCCTGAACAAGCCTCACGTTGTCGTCATGTGCTCAAGTGCCTGTAATGCTTTGAATGCTTCAGGAATAACTGATGTGATTAAAAAGCAATTCGATTACTACATAAAAACCATTAAATGCTACTTGAAGTCTATTACTTTGGGCCTGGAGTAAAAGTAGGTTACAGTAGAAGTTTGGGAATCATATCACTTACCTATCCTTCCCAGCAGGATTCTAACTGTTTTAGAGAAACAAAGACTGGTAATATCCTTTTATAATGGAAAAACTGGTTAGCTAGAAAATTAGCTCACTTCCCCTGAGGTGACCCTGCATACCCCAACTCGGGAAGGAGCTGGAACAGAGGCCTAACCAGGTCTGTCTTGCTTTGTGGAACTACCACTCCCTGAGACAGACATTAGAAAAAAGAAGGAAACTTTTGAGCAATGCTCCCCTCAATAAAAATAATATTTTTTGAGCATTTTATGTTTTAGACACTGTTTCTTAAACATATTTACTTAATCTTTTTAACAACTTGATAAGGTTGATACTGTAATTATACCGATTTTACAGATAGGGAACTGTTAAATAATTTACTTAAGGCATCACGTCATCCTTGACCCTTCTATTTCTCTCCTACACTCTGTATCTAAACTCTCAGGAACATCATGCTGACTCTGCCTTCAAAATATATCTAGAATATGACCACCATCAGAGTCTGATTTCATCTCCGTGTTTTCACCTCTGTCCCCTTAACAATGCATCAGTCAGAGGGACCCATTTAAGCTGTGAGTCAGATCATGTCAGGCCTGTCTTTAATACTTGCAGGCGTTCTACATTTCATTCAGAATAAAAGCCAAAGTCCTTACTATGGCATCAAGACCCTAGAGTGGCATCCCCTTGGTTCTCTATAGTTGTCTCTTTCTGCTGTCCTCTCTCACTTGTCTCCACTGATACTCGCATCTTCTGCTGTCTTTTAAAATATGCTAGGCTCTTTTCTGCATTAGGATCTTTGCTCTAGCTTTCACTCTGCCCAAAATGATTTTCCCTCAATTATCCACTTAACCTCACTTGCTTACTTCTTTCAAGTTTCCTCAAAAATTAGCTTTACAATGAGGCTTATCCATACTCCTTATTTAATACTGTTATCTACCCCCATAAACGATTTACCATCAATTAATGAATAATACAATTTACTTATTATGTAATCTCTTTCCCTCATTAGAATATGAGTTCTTTGAGGATAAGGATCTTTGATTTGATCATTAGTGGATCTTAAGAACTAGAACAGTGCCTGGCACTCAACAAACATTTATTGAATTAATTTATGAAGTGGAGTTTTCCTAGCCATTAAGTGACAAAGGCAGGATTTACAACTGAAGTCTTGCTTCAGGAGCCTGCATACCTAACTTCAATGCAAAAGCTTGCTTCAAAACTATCAGGCTTTCACCAGGTTATTTACTTCCTCTAGGGAGGATTGTATAAAACTTCCTTTTCCAGAACTGTTTCAGTGGACCTATCATCCAGTGATATACTAGAACTTGGGAAATGAAGTTGTGTTCTTGCAGAAAGCACCTTCTAATATATTGGAATCCTTTAGGATTTGTAGAACTATATATCAGCCCAACCTTAATATAATTTTTAAAAGACCTATGTAAATTTTCTTCAAATAAGGTATTTCATCTAAATGTTAGCATAGTAATATGTCTTAAATAGCAAACTACAAATATGCCCCATTCTGTAGCTAATATAAATATTATCTATTGATATGAAGACTGGTAACAAATCTATAGAAACAGGCAAGTAGTCATCACTATTTATCATCGGGGTCCAATGTATCTATTTTAATTTTTTTATATCCTTAAGTCATTTTATGAGTAATATGTAAAAGAGGAATAAAAGGATAGTCCAAAACCAATTTTATTAGAAAATTTAATAAGAATTTAAATGTTGCAAACCCAAATTTTTGTGCCATATTTAGGGCTTACATACCTGAAATAGACAGTGTCTTTTAAATGCAAGTAACTGTCCATCCACTTCATGCATGACCTGGAACATACCCATCCTGTAAATACTAATTTTAGATTTAAGATATTTTTCTAATAAGTTCTTGCTTATAATTGCTCTGGTGGTTCTTCTTGCATTTTCACTGTCAAAATAAAATAGTGAGTCCAGATTTTAAATATATCTCTCCTGGGTTCTTTTTTATGATTCTTTTTTATTGTCCCTTTACTTGCATCATCAAATGCAATACTTTAGAAAACTTTGATAGCTCATATTTTTGTTGGAAAGTACAGTCTTCTCTGCTCCATAAGTGTAAAATATTTTTTATGTTTAGGTTTATAAACATAATTAGAATGATCAATATGGTGAATTTTTTATTTCTACATATATGTCTCCTTCCAATAAGCTTTGGCTACAAATTACCTTTGTCCATTTACAAATCATATGAAGTAAATCTTGATGCAGAAACATAAAAATTTAGAGATAGTCTTATTTCCTTTTATCAAAACAGGGTAATTGAAATTCTTGTCACAAAATATTACATGATAATGTCCTTCCTATTGAATGACTAACAAATGGGACCACCACACCATATTTCCTTTTTTTACCCCTGAAAATATATTGTTCACTCAGCAATTCTTTTGTTTTGAGAAAATTTACCAAGGATATTATTATCATATGAAGAATTACAGTCTGAGATTTTATTTATCAATTTTAACATAACACTACATTCCAGAGTGCTGCCATCTTTTTTTTTGCATTCGTCTTCTGATTCTTTTAATAATTGTCAGACATATTCCTTTGTCAATATTTTCTCTTTGCTATTATGAGCAGAAAATTAAGAGTTCTGTATTTATTCATCTGTGTCCGAGGAACACTAAGAAAAAGACAACAAAAACAGTCTTCTGTACTTCTTTAAAAGGTAATGCAATACTTGGCACAATCATTTAAAAAAAAAAAAGAACCAAAGGGTGATGCAACAGATGGTTTATTTCACTATCTCATCATCCTCTAGGCCAGGGATTGGCAAACTTGTTATGTAATGGGCCAGATAATAAGTATTTTAGGTTGTATGTATGGGGCATTTCGTCTCTATCTCAACTCCTAAACGCTGCCTCTGGTGTGAAAGCAGCCGCAGATGCTATCAAAGAATGAGTGTGGCTGTGTTCCAGTAAAACTCCCATCTCCCAAAACAGTCAGTGGGCTGAATTTGGCACATGTACCATGGTTTGCCAACTCCTGCTCTTTAGCATGCTTGGGAATAATTGTTGAGTAATGATGAAATGGTTCCTAGGATGATGAAACAGCAGCAAATTTCAAAATACAGGAAAAGTAAGATTCATGAGAATCACATATCTTAGAAAAGGATCAAATGGACCTGTGAAATCTCTAATAAGAAAAAGTCATAAAATATTAATCCTTGCTGATAGTTAAACTGCTCAAAAAAGAAACTGAAAAACTAAAATTCAGTCCAGTGTACCCTGATGGTAACATTGAAGATTGATTTATTTTGGAAAGATATATTCTTCCTGATGTCATATTTTTGTTATTGGGTGGGGGAGGGTAGCAGTTAAAACATGCATTCCTAAAAATCACAGTGTTTTGTAAAGTCATGCAATAAGACCACAGGGTAATGGGAAAAGTGTGGGTAGGGACACAACACTCAAAAGCTTCATCGGCGACACACAAAGATAAGAACCAACTAAAAATGGAGCATAGTTTTTATATGTTAAATGGTTAAGAAATATATAAACACTACAATAAATATGGTACTTTACCTTTAAAAAGATCTGGTTTACTTATTATGGAAGTGGCCGTTGGAAGTGTTTTGAATACTAGGAAGTGGTAGAAGGAGGATTCTCCGAAATCAGATGGTGTTATAACACTTGGGAGAACTGAGGGGGATTTGAGGTGTTTTGTGTATCCCCACGTACCTCAGTTCAACTGTGTGCAGTTTTCTGCATTCACCTGGCATTTCTCACAAACAAGTTTTACATAAACATACATGAATTTGTATGGTACTCACCCTTCTTGTGATGATGTGAGATGATACAATGCCTACATGATGAGATAAGTGAGGTGAATGATGTAGGAACTGTGATATAATATTAGACCTACTGTAAGCATTACTTGAATACAAGCTCTGAGATACTTCAACAGTCGATCTGATAACTGAGATGGCTAATGGGTGGGTAGCGGATACAGTGTGATGCACTAGACAAAGGGATCATTCACGTCCCAGGCAGAATGGAGTGGGATGAGCAAGATTTCATCACACTACTCAGAACAGTGTGCAATTTAAAACATGAATTGTTTTATTTCTGGAATTTAACATTTTTGGACAGTGGTTGACTGTGGATAACTGAAACCACAGAATAAAGGTGGGACTACTGTAGTTTTTTTGAAAATAGCTTATTAGTTGTCCGTGTTCATGAGAAATGGTAAGGAAACCTTTTTGAGAATTTCTTTGGAAAGCAAAGGATCTCTTACTATATGTGTTACATTCTTTTAGATTTTAGTACTTAAAACATTTTTTAATGTCTAGACAGACATATAATCTGGTTTTTAATTGGTAATTTAGTAGATTTTACTTAATTTCCATCAAGAATTCATGAAACAATTTTAATACTTTTAAAAATTCAGGATCAAGAACAAGTACTCAATGATACAGTGGATGGCAAGGAAATCTATAATACAATTCGTCGAAAAACAAAGGATGCCTTTTATAAAAATATTGTTAAAAAAGGTTATCTTCTAAAAAAGGGTAAGTGTAAACTTTTAAGGCTAAGATTCAATTTCAGTATTTTATTGTTTACAATAGAAGCATTTTAAATATTGGGCATAAAACTTATCATTGAGGTATGTATTTAACAAGTTGTTTTGCTATATTATTAGTAATTGACCCTTGTTTAGAGCTTTTATCTAAGCATCCTGCAAAATCTAGTCTGGGTATATAAGTCCACATTTCCAAGTAGAGTTTTAGGAAACAAGCTTATATATTTCCAAAGTATGTCTTTAAATCCTGAGGTAGGTTCCAGTGCAAAGTGTTTGATTCTTTGCCCCCTTCCTACTCCATACTCTTTTATTTAAAGTGAAACTTCTTATGGCGCTTGACTCATTCATGGTATTCATGTTTTTATTTTATAGATGTGCCTCAATTTGACATTAAGAAATGTTAGGGGGTTGGAGAGCCACAGGGTTAGTGGAAGAGTTTTTTCTTTTTTCTTATGGCTGAAAAAGAATTATTTCTAAACAAGAATTTTAAAGAGTTTATTGTAATGAAATTACCATAGATATAGTTTAGGTACCCTTGTCCTTTACTCTGTGATTCATTAAAAAACAAGCAATATAACAAAACTTATTTTTCTATAGATAAATTACATATTCTTTTTTTAATAAGAGTTAATGTGTTCTTTGCAATACAAATTGAAATATATTTTTTATTTTCGGCAATAATTTTTATGATTTTAATATATATGATTTCACAATTCACCATTTGGCTAAAGGAAACTTACTTTTTTTTAACAGGCAAAGGAAAACGGTGGAAAAATTTATATTTTATCTTAGAGGGCAGTGATGCCCAACTTATTTATTTTGAGAGTGAAAAACGAGCTACGAAACCAAAAGGATTAATAGATCTCAGCGTATGTTCTGTCTATGTTGTTCATGATAGTCTCTTTGGCAGGTAAGAAATTGATTTCCTATTCCTTTTTGTAGTTGTTTTATTAATAAAATAGTAGGTCTGTTCAGATCATTTCAAGCCATAGCAAACCAATTTTGATAGCCCTGAAATCATCTAAAAATGTCAGATTTACTTTCTGGGGTAATTTTTGTCATCCTTACTTTAGACTCACCTATGCATAAAATTCTACTCCACTGTATTACATAGACATCTTGGAATGACATTTCTTACAGTAAGACTTGATTTGTATGTAGCATGTTTCCTCCCTGACTCTACCACCAATCTTTTGAGTGACTGACTAACTTTGAGTGTTGTCATTTCCCTTCTATTTTATCACATTCTCTGTTAATTCAGTGCATCTAATAGTACTAGGTATAGTCAGTTGTACTATTAACTGGGGGTAGGCACGTTCCTAAGAAACTTGACATTGAGAAACAATCATAATATAAAAATAGTTGTTTCAGTAGGAAAAAAGAGTATTTAAAATTTGAAATTAAAACATTTCTCAACATTAATTTAAAATTTTTTTAAATAATGTATATAAATGTATATGCTAAAGTTAAATCCTGAGCATCACATGGCAAATCCAACTCTTGATTACATCTAGTTTTTGCTCAAGTACAGTAGCCTTTCTTTGTTATCAATAATCCATTCAGTATTATCAGTAATCCATTCCAGAGTTTTTTTTAAGGTATATTTTTATTACCTATTGTTATGATTAATAACACAAATCAATTAAATGTTTTTAACAACTTGGTTTTCTGCTGCAGGATGGCATTTCTACTTGGCAAATCTAGTTTTATCCTAATTAAATGGGTAAAACTACGAGAAAAATACTATAACGCTACAACATTGTCATTTCTTTTTCCCAAACTGTGTTTTAGAGATCACATTAGTGTTATTTGTGATTTTTTAATAGTCAATTAAAAAAATATTTAAAGTAGGCTTGGGAAACAATTAACTGAACAAATAGTTTCCCTTATAGCAGGGGTTTTTTTTGAGTCTTATCTAGTGTTCATATTGTGAATCACTAAGAGGGGAGTGTAATATGAAGTATTTCATAAATTCATTTGACCTTGATACCCTCCACCTTTTTTTCTGAACACTTCCTAATATCTCATAAAAACTGGTGTTCCTGTAAACATGCCAAAAAAAGTTTTGGTCAGGTAGGATTTCTTAAGATTTTTTTTCTCTCCCTTAACAATATGGAAATCTTGGCCTTCAGGTATGGTTGGATAAGACTTCTGTCTCCTTTTCATGTCTCTGCTCTGCCTTCCTTCATGTGTGCTGGATTCTGCTCACAGACCAGCTTCCGTCGTGGTACCAAGGTGACAGACAGTACCAGAGAAAGGAGAAAGCGAGCATTCCCTCCAGTAACTATTTAAAATTGCGGGAATGTACTACTGAGCCACCTCTGAGAGTTTCTAGTCTTGGGTTACCTGAGGTAGCAAAAGAATGTGATTACCTTCATTAAGTGAGGCCATCGGGTGCCCAGCCCTGCTGCTGATCATCCTATCCAAATAGTGAGGAGGTTATACTCTATGGGAGAGGGAAATGAAGTTGGGGAGACGACCACACTGTTCTTTCCCAAACACAGCTTACTTGTGCTATTAACAGTTGCAAGAGGGAAGAGATTTTAGAGACTAGCTTATTGAGATAAGTAATGTGAAAATAGGTGGCTCTTGAGCTGACTTTTGGAGGATGAGTATGAATTCCTTTAGCTAAAGCAGTGCTTCCCAACCAGTGTGTAATGAGTGTTATACGTATTCCTTGAAATATTGGGGGATGTAAAAGTTATTGTAATAAAAATATTAAATGTTTTACATTTAAAAAAATTGTAATACTCGAAATTGTATGACTTCCTCTATAAATTGTTTTAATTCATTATTTTATTGTGGAAAAGAATTGGTGCATAACTTGTAGACAGAAAGCTTTCTATAGTGGCCATACTTCAGTACTTCCCTCTGAATTTTTTGTTAAATCACCCAGATCGTCTGAATATTACTTTACTCACAGTTTTTTGTTAATCATCAGTGAAGTTACTTTTTGAGTTCACATGTAAAATATAGTTTTATTGTGTTTTTTACATCTTTTTCTATAACACAGAAATTAAAATTGTTTTTATTACTGTAAAATTTATAAAGTTCTTGAAAAATGTAACTAATTTAAATTTTTTTCATTGTTAACAGTATAACTGGTTTTAATGTACAGATATACCGTATTTCCCCATGTATATGACGCACCTTAATTTTGGGGCCCGAAATTTGAAAAAAAAAAGTATTACAAAAAGTTATTGAACTCAAGTTTTATTCGTCATAAAATTCATACAACTCCTCATCACTGTCAAAACTCCCAACCATTAGCTTGTCCTCATCACTGTCTTCATATATGGCTTTGTCCTCAGTTCCATCTATGGCATTTGAAATGCCACACTTCTTAAATGTTTTGACAATGATCTACAACCATTGTATAAGATGCACCCAGTTTTTAGACCCCAAATTTTTCGAAAAAGGGTGCATCTTATACATGGGGAAATACGGTATATTTTCCCACCATAAAGGGCAATTTGGTGATTAAAACTGGCAAGTCATTAAATTCAGAAGATGAAAACAGTAGCCTTAATTTTAAAAATACAACCCATTAATTAGGCCACTTGATAATCAATGTATTGAAGTTAGATAGCCAAATCCAGTGAATTTTCTCTTCCTCTTGCATAAAAGTTACTGAATATCAGTGGTGCCAAGCACATTGTGCATATTACAAGCATATTACTAAAGAGCTGTGAGCTCCAAATAAAACAGTTTCTCTTTCCTCCCCTTCCTCCCCCCAGTCCCTGCCTCTCACAAATCTGTCTGTTCCTGGTATGAGGTTACACTTGGGAAACTTAAGAGATCATGAAATTAATAGCTAAAGCTAAAACCAAAGTGCTTCATACAGATTTGGAGAATTGCTTGTTTCATTGTATTAGTCTGCATGAAAATTGCCAACTTTTTGTTTGAGGCCAAAAGCAAAAACAAAGAAAAGAAAAGAAAAGATAACCACTTTCAAATAGTATTAGATTGTGTTCAGATAGAATTATCAGTAAATGCATTGGTGAATTAAATGATAGCCTGAATGTAGATATAGAGATTGCATTTTCACTGGAGACTGATTAATCTACAGATATTAGAGAAATACTTGAGAGTAAATTATTGGTCATTCAAAGAAGTACCAAAAGAAATTACTAAGGTTGAGGTATTCAAAACAGTAAATGAATCCTTTGATGCCAAGAAGCTATTATGGAAATAGTATTTAAGTTTATGATTGATGATGAGGCTTCATAATAGGAACATTTATAAGTTTTACATCAAAAACTAATTCTGGAAAATAAGCAATACAGAGGTGCTCCTGTATGTAAAAGTTTGTCTGTATACCTGAATTCCACGTGAAATAATATTTTTAAATGGAGACTCTAATAAAATCCAAGCTGCTTTAACTGCGTGCTTTCTGTTTTACGGGAGGAAATGGGATCAGAACCCACTGTTCTCCTTGATACCGAAGTGTGTAAGCTCTCCAGAGAAGAGTTTTACTAAAGTTTATGTCTAGAACAAAAGAAACTTTTTGGTTAATCATTCTCACTTTGCAGATTTATTAAAGAATGGGTAAACTTCCTCAAAATTAGAAGTACAACACAAAAAGATATGTTCTGACAGTTTTTGGATTCAAAGCAGAAATTTAACTTTGGAAAAGTGAGGTTAAAAATGATTCACTAGAAATAGTTATTATAATTTGAATAATATGAATCCTAAAGAATTAAGACTAATAAAGCAGTATCTGTATAAGTTTGAGGAAAAGCTTTACCATTATTTTGACATACTTTATATGAACAGGTGCAATTGGATTGAAAACCTGTCTGTAGTATCAAAAGGTCAACATTATACTTGCCTATTAAAGAAAGGAACTGCTAGAATTAAAGAGTAGGTCTTTGAAGTACAATTTAAAGAGACTGAATTATTCCTGTTCTGGTTAATAATATCAAGAAAGGAGTTTCTGTCAGGTTGTGGTGAAAAAGCAGTAAATATACGTTTACCATTTGCTACAAGATCATACTTTGCTTCTTGTGCAGTTTCTTGTTGAAGGTGACTTTCAAGAATTTGAAGACATTTGAAAAAGTCTACACCACGAATTGTATTTAATGGTACCAAGTCTAAACTTAATATGAACAGTTATATTCATGGGAAGTAACACAAGTCTCTTATTTTAAAAAAAAGTGAGGTTTTTTTTCGAAGTATGCCAGTTTTACCATCAATTGTATTCTTGTGTGCCTCACTGTGGAATAGTTGGGAAGCACAGAGAAAGACAGAATGTCAGGAAAACAGTGTCAGCAAAGCATATTTCAAGGAAGTGAAAAGATATTTACCAAATATAATAGGATTAGTGAAAAATAGATTGATACCAAATTATGGATCATAGAATACAAATATAGCATAAAAGGGTAAGTCGTGGGTAAATGCTGTTATCTTTTTCTTTGTTACCAAATGTTGGCAAGTACTGAACATTTCTTGCTTTGAGTAAGCATAGAACCCAATACACTGACCTTGAGCATTTAGGTGAAGTCTAAGGTGACGTTAAAGGCAGGCTTCTGCAGTAGACTTTATTGGTGTGCATGCTCAGCCCATGGGGAAGAAATGTTGGACACCACTGTCGTTTTGGCTGTTTTCCTGCCTGCTCTAATTAATTGCACAGCTGTACAAGTTTTCCAGTTATTTTCAGTATTATTAAGAGGTCTCTTTATATGAAACCTCTTCAAATAATAACCATTTCAGAAACACTTTTCTCTTTTAAGGGTCTGGCTATCATTTGACTCTCTCAGCATTTGACTGTGAAAATGCTGAATGTGCTGGTTACCTTTTCAGCATCTTAGCTGATGCTTTCTGCTCAGCATTTCAGCTTCTTGCCCAACACAGTTTAGGAATTGGCAAACACACCTTGAAAGGAAGGAAGAGCTATAGAGAATATCAATATCAGGCTCACCTCACTATCATCTTGGCCCCTCCGGTCTTAGCTGCTTTGTTTGTTTTCCACTGACTTAAAACAGTTGTTTCTAGTTTTGTTTTGTTTATATTTTATCCAGCTAGGAGGGTTAGTCTGATACAGAATGAGAATGTTTCAGTTTACATTTTCCATTATTTTTATGGCATTCTCAAAGCACGAAAATATGGTTCTTTTATCTTTAAATATTAAGCTTCTACTTTGGGTTTTTTTTTTTAAGATTTTATTGGGGAATTGGGGGGAGGGGAACAGCATTGGTGAATCGGGGAAGGGGAACAGACAGGTAGACAAATTGCTGTTTTTGTTCTTCAGTCTAGTTGTGGAGGACGTCGCTTCACTGGCCTATGTTGGTATGATCATTGTGCTCTTCCGGGGTGAGGCAATTGGTCGCCAGTATTGGTTGGCCACTCACAGCGGCTCCTGGCATCACACGGCTGCCAGCCACTCACATAGCTCACGGCAGCCCACTGCAGCCTACGCCGTCGCCGGCGACTCACAGCAGCCCAGCTCCAGGTCGAGCTGTTGTTCATCATCTTAGCTGTAGAGGGCGAGCGTCACTGGCCCTCATGTGGGATCCGAACCGCAGCCCTGCTGCTCAGCGCTGGTGCTCCCAAGCGAACTCTTAACCAGCTGAGCCACTCAGCCGGCCCTACTTTGGGTATTTTGATATGGCCTCCTAACACTAAAGTATAAGATGTAATCTTTGGTTAAAGCAAGAAATAGAAATAACATTTTTTGAGTTTCAAAAACGTGAAGATACTTAACATTTTGTAAACATTTTCAAGTCTAGTTAGAAAGACCAAATCTTCAAAAAACATATAAACTACTATCTGATACTGTTATTTACATGTCAAATGAATTATAGTACAGTGCATACTATGGGCAGATAACTAATGTTTACTGTACACCACTATTAGGTCATTTAATCCTCAGAACAAGCATATGTATGAGTAGATGATATTTCTGTTTTAACAGATGAGGAAAAACTGTATTGTAAAAAAATTTGAAAACACATAAAATTATAAAGAAGAAAATTCAAATCACTTACCATCTATCGAGATAACCACTGAACATTTTTGTCCTAAGGACATGTCTAATCTTTTTCCAGTTCATATGAATGTATATTCTGTGAGTTTATAGGTCAGTGAGTTTAGTAACATTTACTTGCTTTAAAAAGTGTTTGAGTTAGCTATATGGAATTCTAGCATTTCTTCTTCAGTTTCTTTGTAAGTGTTCTGTTTCTAATGTCTTTTAAAATTAATATACACAGTAATTTTTTTAATTTGAAAGATCTGTAAAATTTCAATAGTACAAAGTTTTCTAAAAATATTTGCTGCTGACATATTCTTTTTAGCAATGATCTGGTACATGGAGTATTCTCTAAATTAAGAATTATGTAATTTTGCATAAATTACATAATAATACATTGTGATTTTTTTTTAAGTGGCATAAATGTCTTAATACTTTTTGTTAAGCGTCCTAATAACTTTTTTGTTTGTATTTAAAGGCCAAACTGTTTTCAGATAGTAGTTCAGCACTTTAGTGAAGAACATTACATCTTTTACTTTGCAGGAGAAACTCCAGAACAAGCAGAGGTAAGTTAATTGTTTCTTCAACAACTGTAAACATTTATCATGTTTCTTTCTTTTTTATTCAATTAAAATTGACATACATACAATATTATATTAGTTTCAGGTATGCAACATAGTGATTAGACATTTATATACCTTTTGCCTATGTATTCTTTTTAATCTGAATAGAATAATATTGTACCTAAGTGGTAAAAAGGATGCCTGAAATCTAATCATCTTTTTATTTTAAGGAATGAGAACTTTCATGTGTAAAACATTTTGTGAAACAAATGCAGGAAACAGTGAAGGGTTATTAGGAATGAAAACTTCATTTTAAGTTGACCTTTAAATACTCTATGATGTTGAGTCCAACTGAAAATGCTCATTTAAAATCCTCTCTGCACAAAGGTTATAGATATTCTCAGTACAATCGAAATGTAAGCCAGTTAGTTTTGCTAACAAGCTTGTCGTTCTTCACTGGTTGAACACCATGTCTAAAAATAGAAGTTCAATCATCATCGGAAGGAAAACTATTTTAGGAATTTCCTATTTTTCTCTAAGTCTAGACATAATGTCTAATTTGGCACTAGCCATTGATCTATGTGCAATGCCCTTCTAAAAACCTTTATTAAATTTTAAGTAATGCTGTGAAGAAATAATGTGTTAAAAATATTGCCTTTTAAAAATATTTTGATTTCTTTGAACCATAATATTTCTGGGGTTACTTAGCGATATTTTGTAGAAATATGGCAATATTTTTGCTTATTCTCTGGAAGGAACTTTAAGGTAGTTAAGAGGTCAAAGAAAGTGACTTTGTCGTAGACAGAAGATAATTTGCCAACCCTGGATGTGAGGCAGATACTCTTAAAACCGTGGATCCTGGTATGGTCCTCTTACTCATAAATTATGAAAGTATCTTAGACTCTGGAATGAACTTGATGAATGAAATATTATATTTCATTGCTCAATTAAGTGTCATGATGTAAATCTTTGTAAAATATCTCAAATGCTCATTAACATATAACACACATAAAACCATTTTTTGTAGGTATGTATCCCCAATTTTTAGATGAAAAAGTAGGACTCAAAACATTTTGTAACTTAGACATTTTTCTAAATGTTAGAAATTGATTTAGGAAAGAAATTTAAACTTTAGTATTCTATCTTCTAATTGTTTTACCATGTTCCCTCTTTCTAACTGAAGACATTACATACCTTGATATTTCAGTATGTTTTGCATGCCTCACTAGCTGTATAAATAGAACATTTTCTTATTGTATTTATATATACTCTTTCTATATTATGTATTTCCAAATACTACTAAAAAGTCCAAAAGTACCATTGGTATTTCTAACATTTGTTACTTTGGTGGCTTCTGGGATGTCTGGTTACTCTCTTCTGTTTCTAAAAGCTACGGTAATTGATTCAGTCTTAATTTGCTCTACTCGAAGGATGTTCTCTAAACATTGACAGAGTTCAGATTCATTGAAATTACATAATTGAGTAAAGCAATGGTATAGAGCTTCTTAAAAACATGTAATGCCAAAGTGAAATACTTAAGATTTATTTTTGAATAACCTAAAATTGTTCTCACCTTTCTCCAGAGCGCTAGATAAACATTTTAAATATAGCTGCAAATGAATTTGAATATTAGGCTGAAAAAAATTTTAACCTAATGTTGTCTTTGAAAGACATAAATAACCCAGATCCCCTTATTTATTTCTACCTATATGATGTTCTAAAGATTAGAATGCTTGTCATCAAATCAGTCATCTTATTATCCATTGGTTTTGCTGTCAGTGCTTCTTCCACAAATATATCAAGTTAAATTCTACGTTAGGGTTCCTCAGGTGTAACAGCTTAAGTAACTATACATAAACTTTATTTTTTGGGCTAATCACTGGCCACTCATTGGTATATTTAACATTAACTTAGAGATTCTACAAAAATGCTGTTTTTTACAGAATTATTATAATTGTTTTGGTCATTGTTTTACTTTATTGGGACACAAATATATTAAAGTGCAGTCTAAAGAACGAAACGACTATTATTGAATTTGAAGAAACAAATTGAGAATTGGAAACTAAACTATTATCCAGTATATTTCTTTGAAATGCTGTTATTTTTTGTAGGATTGGATGAAAGGTCTGCAGGCATTCTGCAATTTACGGAAAAGTAGTCCAGGGACATCTAATAAACGCCTACGTCAGGTGAAGCTTAATTTTCTTTGATTTATGATTGTCACATTTTGTTCTGTCACCTTTCTCTTTCTCTTTCTCTATGAACTGTTTTGGGGCAACACTTCAAATACTTTAGCGTTCTTAAGAGAAGTTATTCTGTGCTCCACTTGCTTCAGTAGCAGGAGAAATACTTCTTATGAAAGAGATAGTTTTGTCTGTGCCTCCTGGGTACTTATAATGTAGTTCATAATGCCATCTTTTAAATACATACCAAGGATTTTTCTTTTTTCTTCCATTTAAAACAGTACCAAACCAACAACAGAAACTATTCTCTTGGGCATTTTCTTGTTTTTTCTTAAAAAAATTTATTTTGGCCTATTTCAAAAAAGTAGAACTAAAGGTACTTATTAAAAAGATACCTGACTTAAATACTGATTACCAATAAACTTTTGGGTTTTTCATTTTATATTAATTGCTTTTGAAATGTATTGCATAACTCTCAGGTAGTATCCAATCTTATTTGAGACCTTAACATGTCCTTTATGTTCATTTATGGTGAGTTATGCTAGGCTTTTTCTAGGTATGTGAAGTCAACTTTAAATCCTCCACTTCCTTGGTTTTTTCTTTGTAGTTATCCTTAAATAATTGGGAAAAAATAGGTAATTCTAATATTCTTGGAGTTTTGAGGAAAGTTTAGTCAACATTTATTGACCAAAGAGACTCGTTTTATTTATGGGAATTTCCAATAAGTTTGGTGAATTTAACGTATTTTATTGGAAGTGGATAAATGGTTAGTATTTAGATGACTACAATTTATATTACCTGTAATCAAAAGACTGACCCCTCCAAGGACATTTAATTATGCACATAATCACTATGTGTTCTCAAAACATATTTTAACATTTTGAAAGCTATGGAAAAGCAGATTGAATTTTTGTAGATTGTGTATCGTGTGAATCTTGAGCTGTGAAATTATCATTTATAGGTATAATATGGTATAGCTGTTTCCTCTTGAACTTTTATGTGTCGTGTGCTTTACACATATTTCGCATCGTTACAACAACTTACAGTGTAAACTGTATCCTAATTCTATATCTGAGGAAGGTGAGACTCAGAGAAACTGACTTGTCCAAGGACACACAAGTAGTAGCAGGGAAGAGGGAAGGGGACGTGATACTAAAAGGTAGATGGTTTAAGTTTTGGCATCAAAACTGACAAGTAACTTTGCTTCTCTGAGAATCTGTATCCTTTCTGTAGAATGGAAAGGTGAAATCTGTGTTTTAAAAATATTTTATAGCTGTGGAACTCGACAGAAATAAAATCTTCCAGATGAACATTATATAACATACGGCGTTTTCATTTGGGTGGTGACAGTTGTTTACTTGTATTAATAAAGAAATCCTCATCTTCATTTTCTCTGAACCACTGTTTTATAGTTGAAAAGTGTATTTCATTTATGTAAGAATATAATTGGAAGAATAAATGTAAAACATAATTGCATTCTAGTAATTGCTTTTGAAACCTAATGCATAATTCTTGAAATCTGGGGTAACAATTTTTGTGCTTTCTTTAGGTCAGCAGTCTTGTTTTACATATTGAAGAAGCCCATAAACTCCCAATAAAACATTTTACTAGTCCATATTGTAACATCTACCTGAACAGTGTCCAGGTAGCAAAAACTCATGCAAGGGAAGGGCAAAACCCTGTATGGTCAGAAGAGTTTGTCTTTGAGTAAGTCTTATTTTATCGTTACATGAAATTCTTTTATCATACTGCATACTGCATTTTTTTATTTTTTTCGTCTCTATAAATCATCAAGAAGGTACCAAATCCAGGCATTTTGGTAGTACATACATTTTTTTCCCTGTTATATTTTTTTCACTTTATTATTAAAATGCTATGTCTTTTGCTTTTCACCTAGTTATTAATTTGAATTAGCATTACTGACAAGTCCAAAACCATTTACTAACACAAATACAAAATGTTTACAAAAGTTTCCAGGATTTACTACTTGAGGTTAAAGATGGTAGAGAGAACATAATTTGTTTGTCTGTATTTCTGTATACCAAGCAATAAAACATGTTTTGAATCTAGGTGTTAAGCTCTAACACATTCAATTTGTTTGGTAATAAAATAGGGGTCTTTTTGCTACTGAAGGAATTATATAATTTGATGCCAGGACGTTTTATTAATTGTTTTTCTCCTTGCTCCTTTAGTGATCTTCCTCCTGACATCAATAGATTTGAAATAACTCTTAGTAATAAAACAAAGAAAAGCAAAGATCCTGATATCTGTAAGTTGACACAAGTTTCTTTCTAAAGTAAAAAAAAAACTTTTTAAAAATTCATAATGAAATGTAGTCTAAAATGGAAATTAAAAAATAAAATAGAAGTGCAAGTACTATAATTTGAGATAGTTTCTTTTTAGATAGTTTCTAAAATGTATGTAAGAAATAAAAAAAAAAACAAAATGAGAAAACTTGTACATACTATAAACCTAAGCCCTTAAGATTAAATTATTTATGTATTCATCCTCCCCAGTGAGTAGGAAGAACAAGAAAACAGTAACAGTGGTCATCTTTCTGTGGTTCTTCCTCTAGCCCTAGCCCCTCTTTCCACTTTTTAGGTTTTTCCTATTTTCCTGTACTTTACATGTAAGTGAAAAATAAACCCTCTTTTAAAAAAAAAAAATTCTTTAAATAGGAGTACACTATTTATTCACTTCTGGTAATGAAACCCTCCCAGTTTTTTATCTCAGCAGCACACCTTTTCCAGCCTGTTGCTTAAACAGGTTATAGTGGGATTTAGTAATCCACATCAGTGTGAATTAGATTAATACCTTCTTAAATGTCAGGCTTAGGGAAAGAAGTGTTATGTATCAACAGATAGATCAAAATCCTGAATTTTTCTCTATACAAAATGTTTACTCTGTCATTTCTGTATTTAAATGCTTTAACATTTTTTAGTGGTTCCCCATTACGTTTAGGATAAAATCCAGTCTCCCACCGCAGTAATGACACAGAAGGTCCTTTCTGATCCACTCCTCTTCCCTTTTGCTCTCCAGCTATATAACATCTTTCTCATAACTCTCAAATTATCTGTGGATTGTAAAACTATTCACCATACCTTTTATGTGGACTCCCTCATGCTCCCCCATCCCCCACTTCTCTTTCTCTCATTTTCTTTACCTTTATACTTAGGTACAGCTCCACATCCTGTTACAAGTCAGCTAAAGGATTAACATGTTTGGAGTAGATTTTTAATCTCTACCAGCTGAATTAGATATTATTTCTCTGTATTCCATTGCACGTATCACGCTGTACCATACGTGATTTTTTACCTTCTTGGCTAGACTGTGACCTCCATGTAAGTCAGAGACTGTGTCTTAATCATGTCTGTATCCCATGTCCCTGCTTAAACAGAGTCTGGCACATAGATAACATTTAGTATTGAAATTGTGATATCACTGAAAACTTTAATAATAAGCATTTAACACTATAAAGAAGACAGAACATCAGGAAATTTTACTTGTGTGACTAATTATAGTGTCATCTTTTTAGATAGTAATCATTTGATGTTTTTCTGTCAAAGTATTTATGCGCTGCCAGTTGAGCCGGTTACAGAAAGGGCATGCTACAGATGAATGGTTTTTGCTCAGCTCTCATATACCGTTAAAAGGTATTGAACCAGGATCCCTGCGTGTCCGAGCACGATATTCTATGGAAAAAATCATGCCAGAAGAAGAATACAGTGAATTTAAAGAGGTATTAAGTTATTTACCAGTCTGATTATTTATGATAGCATTGACAGAAATATTTAATGTTTAATAACAGATCCATTAAGTTAAATGTTGTGAGGCCATAGCTCAGTGGCACATTGACAGGCGGAGGGTGAACAGCCTTGCAGTAGTTGGGTGTTGGTCTTAAAAGACAAAAAAAACGTAGGCTACAAACTCACTCTGTTTTTAATAAATGTATTCAATAAAACATTCCTAAATGGAATAACAAAAGAACATATTTTCTGTTAATCTCACTGAGAATGCTTAATGCTGTGTACTTTCAACAATCTTTCTTGATGTTATTTTTAGCTTATATTGCAGAAGGAGCTTCATGTAGTCTATGCTTTATCACATGTATGTGGACAGGACCGAACACTACTGGCTAGCATCCTGCTGAGGATTTTTCTTCATGAAAAGCTTGAATCATTGTTGTTATGTACACTAAATGACAGAGAAATAAGCATGGAAGGTATAGTATTCAAGTGTTAGTGTGATACTTTTAAAATTATTGCATCAATAATTAGATTGTACATATCAAGTATATGTGGATTCTGTCTTAGAATATATTAAACAGTTATATCATCTTACAAAATAAGTTATTCTGTTTTTCCTTCATTAAAAATTACAATTAGGATGTCAGTTTTGATTCGTATACTGGCTAATATGTGGGGTTGGTATTTCTAATACAAGTTTCTGTCATGGCAAATTAGTATTGGAAGCTGTAAGAAAGTGACTTCTGTGTCCCAGTCAGTGGCTCACAGTGCTTTATTAAGAAGAGTCTAGTATACCTGCCATCTTCTCTTGTTAATTTTTACTTACTAATTCATTGCACAAAAGTTGAGGTCAGCTGAATTTTATTTCTAGCTTCTGTAGATAGGTAGTTCCCAGGCAATATAGCTGGGCACATAATGCTTTGTTACGGCTTACAGATACATCAGAATAACCCACTTCCAACCAGCACTTTGAATCAGTAACAGTGCTTGTTTCTAGGTTTCCCCCAAATAAACTGTAAAACTGTTTCTTTGTAATCATTGAAAATGTAAAATATAGATTTGGCAGGGAAGAGAAAGTGGTGGTACATATTTTACACAGAGATTGTCTTTTCTAGTAGCAATGTTTGTATTTTTTAGGATTTTCTTAAAATAAATGTCATTAATGTAATGTTTTAGGCTAATAATTTATACTGGGATTTTTGTTATATTTTTATTTGAAAATTAACTCAGATTTATCAAAGCGTGCTCAGTGGACAGCAAATCTAGATTCTGTTCCTAGTTTTGTCACTAACTGGTTCTTTGGTTTTAGACAAGTCACCTAACCCTTTTAGTCTTTGTTTTTTCATATGAATGTGGTAGTATTAATCCCTTCTATTTAAGATCTAATGAAGTAATAAAGTCTTTTGAAGAGTTAAGTGTATAGGAATATAGGATGTTATTTTAATCAATACTTTAATGCTACATGCAAATAACCATACTTAAATGGTTATAATTGTTGAGGAAAAATGAATTCATTTGATTTCCAGTTGATTCACATTAGTACAATCCTTTACAAATAACTTTTTCACATAAATATTTATGTAGATGAAGCCACTACCTTATTTCGAGCCACAACACTTGCAAGCACCTTGATGGAGCAGTATATGAAAGCCACTGCTACACAGTTTGTTCACCATGCTTTGAAAGACTCTATTTTAAAGATAATGGAAAGCAAACAGTCTTGTGAGGTAAGAATTTAATGTTTTAAGTATTTCAGCAAAAAGCATATTTTAATAGGTAATGCTTTATAGTTAAGTACATTTTAAGGAAATAGATTAGCTTTCTAAAATTATTCATCATAGTAGTTACACCTTTTGTAATACATTTGGAGAATGTTATGAAAAATATTTTTTTTTTAAGGGAATTTTATTGTGGAATAAAAAACCCACAGTTGTACCAGAAATTCATGACAGTACTTCATTTTTCTTACTGTACTAATGACAAAATATATGCTGCTTTCAGAAAGCTTGCATAACCTAAATTAGAGTTTTTGCTGGAGACTTTTGTTGTATAACCTAGTTAAGTTCCATGTAGCATATCATAATATCTAAATTTGTCCTTGAAGATTTTTTTTTTGGGAGGGTGGCGGGGGGGGGGTATGAGGTAATCCTCTCAAAAGCAAATAAAAACATCCTCTTAGGATTAAGACTTCAGTGTAATATAATAAACTATTAAGATAAAGAGTGAAATCTCACTTTTATGGTTCTCTCATTTTACTTTGAAGGTAGCACAACTATAGATGGAAGATATTAAATATATTCTGTAGATCTAATAAAAAATTAATAAAATAATGAATTGCTTTTGATAGTGTCCACTGGGAGCTGTCAAATATTGATTCTGTGTTGTCAGTTTTTACTAATTAGCTTAAAGGGAATAAACTGATGATTTAGTATTGAAAACCTGGAGTGACACCACAGTTGGCCTAACTATAAAGGATACAGAAACTCAGCAAGTCTGCAGAATGTCTGGATACTGGGGATCCAGACTAGGGGATTTAGACATATATAATCTATTCCATTGATTCTGTTGGGTTGTCGGAAAAGTCATGACGTAATTTTTCTCTGTTTTTCGTTGCACGACTTTTCCGACAACCCAATAGATTAAGAACGCTTAGATTTTAAGGGTTACTGGAAAAGTTTTGAGAAAAGTTCATGATTCTGCCCAAGGCATTTTGGTATTTTATTAGTTATTGTCTCATTCAGAAAAGCCTTTAATCACTTTTTTCCTCAAATAAATAGAATTAAGAGAGTTTATAATAATGTTATAGCCACCTTTCTTCACATTTAAATACTCCTATATATTTTTTAATACATGGCCACTAGAGTGGTTTTTTGTCTTCTAGCTGAGAATGCTATATTTAAAATAAAGTCCAATCCACTGTGTGTGTGTATGTGTGTGTGTAAAAATCTAAGGTAAACTCTGGTAAATGAATAGAACTTTAATACTGGTATTAATCCCAAAGCAATTGAAAATTGTTGAATAATCATAGCTTGTTGAGTACAGTTGACCCTTGAACAATGCAGGGGCTAGTCTTCCTGCCATCAAAAATCCGCATATAACTTTTGACTACCTCAACTTAGTTGTCCCTCTGTACCCACGGGAATTGGTTCCAGGACCCCCGCAGATTCCAAAGTCTTGCAAATATGCGAGTCCCTTATATAAAATGGTGTAGACCAATGCATACGGTCTGCCCTCCACATCCTTGGACTCCCAATCATTGATCCAAAACAGTACAGGTTATGTATTGAAAAAAGTCTGTCTAGGTGGACCTGTGCAGTTGAAACCTGTGTTCAAGGGTCAACTGTAATTGGGAATTATGCTAACAAACCCAAGGAGTTCCACAGAACAAACCACTTAAAATTTTTCATGTATATCTCCCCCACAAAAGACTTAATACACACTGAAAAATGGGAAAATAGAGAACCTTGGAAACAACTGTTTGATTACCTTGATTCATTTGTGTTTTTATCATTGCCAAGATGCATTTATATTTATTCCTTCTTTTAGTTAAGTCCATCAAAGTTAGAAAAAAATGAAGATGTGAACACTAATTTAGCACACCTATTAAACATACTTTCAGAGCTGGTGGAGAAAATATTCATGGCTTCAGAAATACTTCCACCGTAAGTTTTGAAATTTTAATAACAAGAATTGTATATTAGCTTTTCGAAAAATTTGCATTTTTAAAACGTAAGCTTTTCCACTGTCTTAATGGTATGATACTCTGAAAAAGTTAGGGTTTTTAATCTTTACAAGATGAATTGTGTTTAAGGAGAAAGACTGAATTGAAGAAACGAGAGTGAAATATTTACATTAAATAAATCATGTTTTCATGCAAGCCAGTATGTCTGATTTATATAACAACTTGGGAAATAAATAGAGGCTTATAGTCTCAGATTTGAGGAGATGGTAAAAGATGTATCTACCCAGTTTAGACTTGAGTATCTTTCTCACTGTGTACACCAGAAATTGCTCAATATCGCTTAATGGCTTCCAGTGTTAGTAAACTCACTCAGGAGAAGAAGGTAACTTAAGGTAACATTTATCTCCCAGGACTTGTACTCATTAGTTCCTCCGTATCCTCATCCCAGCTTTTCTTCATACTTTTCATTAATATAGAAATAATGTAAAAGCGGTAAGATTTCTTCTAAAGGAAATGTAAACAATTGGTTAAATCAGTTAATAATGAAAACTTATTTGATTGACTCTCATTACTTTTAGCCATGCACTTTTTTGCGGGCATAGGTCTGTTGCTTTAAAATATCATGTATTTGGTAAATTACGCTTTGGGTACAGTGAGATCAGTATTTTCATTTTTGGTGTTGAGATGATTGTGTTATTTTTGCAGGACACTGAGATATATTTATGGGTGTTTACAGAAATCTGTTCAGCACAAGTGGCCTACAAATACCACCATGAGAACAAGAGTTGTTAGGTAAGGCTTATCCATTCATTGGTTATATCGCTGTATGTGGCACACATTGAGTCAGGTGGATAATTGTGAAAATTTGAAGACTAACAGTATACAGTGTACAATTCAATACCTTTTTCTTTTACTTTAATTCAGAGCCCTGTTGAATATTTTCTGAGTGCAGATGGCCTCTAAACTTTAACTTACCATATTTTGGAAGTTACTATGAGATACTTAAATATCTTTTGCATTTTCTAAAAACCTAAACATTCATTTATAGTCAGTTAACTATTTGGGATTTGTTTATCTTACAGAATGAGGTTGAAAGTTATATAATCAACAAAGTCTGTAGCTAACTTCATATAGTATACTCTTCATACAGACATATACACACACGTGCATATACCTACATATATATAATATATACAGGGAGGGAGGAGAAAATGAAAAAGAGATAACTGATCTAATGCTAAAAAGATCAATAATTAAACCATTTAGATATTGATTAACTGGTTTGTAATAAAGAGTCTGTGACTCAGGGCTAATTTCCAACCAGAGCCTCTAGTTCCAAAGCTGTGTTTGAGTGTGCTCATTATATGATAAGTAGGAGGGAATGCGTTGGAAAGTCATAGAATTTTGTAGCTTATGTAAAGGACTTCATCATCATTATTTTAACATATTTCCCCAATGAGGAAGCAGATCTGTAGAGGTTAAGTTGTTTGCTTAAGGTTACATAGAAAGTTAGTGGCTAGACCCAATCTTATATGCTGAATACTACTGCAGGTTTTAGTTAAGCACACCTCAGCCCATTCAAGACAACTGGAAATTTAGTGAAAAAGCATCAGAGAATATAGTAGAATAATGGTGATATACTTTATTATGTAGAATATATACTGCCTGTTATGTCATATCCCATAAAAAATTTAGCTAACCTCTAAAATCACCAATATCATATAGTTTTGAAATTGTATGTGAATCCGGCCCCCAACCTAAATTTTGTAGAGACTTCTACTCTTTTTTTTACACATAAAATCTTAATCCTATGATACAAATATTTAAGAATTGTAGATTCTGTATTTCTACTTTAGTAGCGATTGTGAGGAATAAGGAAGAATTAGAAACATATCTTTCAGCACAGCTATGTGTGTGATGTAAATTAGCACTGTTCTATAAACTGTACATTTCAGACAAGTATACTAGTTAAGCACAGCAGGAAATTCTGCTATGTGATTGTTTGATACTATAGGGTGTTGTAAGGGGCATTTATGCCCAAGGTGATGATTTCTGTCCCTAATAAGCTTTTAATACATGTGTAGGTGCATAGTATCCCTCTTAAATTTAATATCATCTCTAAAAACTCACAGAAAGTAGATATGCACACTGAAATTATTTTATGGTTCAGTGTTGCCAGGTTATATTTCATATTCTAAGACCTGTTTAAGTATCAATGTGTTCAAGCAAAATTTATGCAAAATTCTTTATAAATTTAAAAGAAACATAAATTTAAAGACTTAATTGTTGTATATAATTTCAATAAATGATGAAGTAACATACTCACTTTCTAAGAGTCCAAAATTAGCAAATTGTCATATGTTGGAAGGTAAATGCTGAAAAGTTGGGTTGGTTATACACTCTTTGAGAGACTGTTGATTATTTTAGCATCTAGAAGGAATTTTATCAACTAAGAGGTCAATTATTAATGTGGTTCCTCTTAAAAGGAAATTAAAAGAAAAATGGTCTATATGACAACATATAATCTCTATCAGTAACTGAAGGGGGCAGGCTAGGAATAAGCTATATAAGTTTGCAGTTTTACATTATGCATTGTTCCCCGAGTTAAGATTAGCGGGTAAAATTACATATGACAGTGTTGTTAAGCCACGTGCTTTTTCACTAATTTTTCTTTTTGCTATTATTTTGTAACTTAAGAACGCTTTTTTAATTTTAGAAAGGTTGATGTCTTTTTCTTTATTGCCATGAAAGCTTTTTAGCGTTCTGTCGTATGCATTTTAGTTTATCAAGAAGTCACTTTTCTCCTAGTACAATGGATTCTTATTTTTATATGACTCATCAACAAAATCAACATAACAGATTTGACTGGGTTGTTCTGTTTAAATACAGAAAGAAGACAGTGAGAGAATGGAAGTTTTAGGACCTTATAGGATGTATCTATAAAATGGTTTATAAGTGCTCCTAGTTTTTCAGAAATTGTTAGTGTTCCTAAGGACACTGCTTCCTCAAAGTTAATTTAAAATGTACTACTAGTTTGGAATAAATAAATAGTGGCCAAGACAGTAAATGTTACAGATAATTTAAATCTTCCCAAAGTAAATCTAAAATTCCAAATTTGGGAAAAGTGAATATGTAATATGTTGAGGATGATATGAATATTCTTAAAGTAAGTTACTTTATTTTCTTAAAGCTGTGTTTGGGCTTCCCTATATTCAAAGTTCGTGGTTCTATGAGTATTAAAAATTTTGTGTATTATTTTAATGTAGTTTTCTAAAAAAGAATTTCCCTCCCATTCAGTGGTTTTGTTTTTCTTCGACTTATCTGTCCTGCCATCCTGAATCCACGGATGTTTAATATCATCTCAGGTAATCAGCTTTTGATAAATTTTGAAATGAAAAAATTACAATTTTATACTATTTAGAAAGGTTACTTTTTTTTTCTTGTAAATTTGAATTTTTAAAATTTCCATTTGTAAGACTTGGTATAAACATTCCAGAGCACGCTTCCTTTTGCTACTTTATCGTTTCCCTTTTTTTTTTACTTCTTACCCTTTCTTCCCATCTAATAAATGAAGCCTGAGATGGCATGATTAAACACATAGCACTCTTTTTCCTTTTCTACCTGTGTCTCAAACTTCTATTATGATGACATTTTCCAGTCTGTTACTTGGCTTTTTCAAGTTGGGAAGAACAGCTTTGTGTGTGCTAGCTACAGTTGCAGTAGTGCTTAAAGAAAGTGGCTCTTTAGAGGTCAGAGATGGCCCATGAGAGATTTCTTGTCACCAGTTATAAAATGTTAATCAGCCATATTAAACTCCACATTAAACCAGATTCTGTTTTGCTTATTACTGTATGTCCATTATGGAATGACTTTTAGATATTGTAGACTTCTTTCACAGAAAGAATAAGTGTTATTTGTGACTATGAATATAATGAGCCATTATTAAAAGATGGAACCGGAACCATTTTTATCTTAATAATTTGAAACTCAAAGTTGTATTAAAAATATTTTGGAATTTACCTTTATAGCCATCACATCTGTTATTATCTGGTATTGCTACTAAAGTGGTTAAATGTATGATCTATTAAAAAATTAAGTAGAATTCTTTTGAAGAAATATATTGAAGAGATTTATTTATCGGAATGTTGGTCTTGAACCATTGGGCTATACTATTTATAGTTGAGCAGCTTAAGATACAAATAATACAATCTAAAATCTGGCAGTCACATAGACTCTATAGGTTTTTACCGTTAAATAATTATCTTATGTTTCAGGGCCTATATTTAATAGCTGTACTTTTCATTTACATCTTAGTGTCTATATTCTGTAAGGAAATGTTTCCTGATTAATCTTTAAAATATTTTAAAAGTTTATTAAATTGCATGTTTTTCTCTTCAAAATAGAGCAGAGGTCCCAGACTTTATCTTTGTATTGGTCTTTAAAGTGAATTATTTGTAGTCAGTGGAGGTTTGGAGCAGGAAATTGCTCAGATTGTAAATTGCTAACCTGAGTGGGTTGAAATTAGCTTTGTGAATTGTCACAAATGTGTATGTATATAGAGTGACAGTTGTTTTAACATTAAAGATAAAGCTCTATAGTATTTCTAAATACTATCACTCTATAGTATTTCTAAATACTATCAATCAGTTGGGAATTGCTGAGTTTTGTAGTTGCACTGATAAGTATATTCAGTATTTCTTCCTTTAACTCAAATTATTTTGGATTATACAGGCCAAACATTTAAAAAAAAAAAAAGTCTGAGTTCTGAATAGAATGTTAGTGTTTTTAACAGTAAAGAAATGTTAGTAAGTTCTAAATCCATGATGGTTTTAACTGGAAGTACCTTGAAATTGGTCTGATTCACTATGCCCAATTCTCTTATAGATTCCCCATCTCCTATTGCTGCAAGAACACTGATATTAGTTGCTAAGTCTGTACAGAACTTAGCAAATCTTGTGGAATTTGGAGCTAAGGTAAAAACATTTTGATACTTAAAATATCATTTATGAATGAAACTTGGACATGATAAAATCATAAAAAATAGTTTAATTACATTTTCAACAGTGGATGTTTCATAAAGAGAATTTATATTTTTGTTGATATTTTTAAATATTTTGTTTAGATATATTTTAATACTGGAATTTTAAAAACCATTTTAGCCACTATAGAAAACTATTTTCAATTTCTGATATACTCAGATGCTCCCACTTTTAAATATAAAAATCAGTGAGCATATTTTTAAATGAACTCCATTTTTTTTAAATTTCACAATAAACATTACCTAAATTTTAAAACTTGGATGAGTTTTCAAAACACCCATATGTGATCCCACTACTTAAGGACTTAATATTCTGGTAGGGATCATACTTTGTCACCTGCTTTTGTCAATATGTAACAGACTTCTTGCTGTACCTGGAAATATATAACTGTTTTATTGTTCTTAATGATTATTTAGTATGCCATCATGTAGATGGATGTTAAGTCGTTCTCTATTGGATAGCTTCTAGTTTGTCACTATTATAAATATTGCTGTAACAAGTATCTTTAAATCCTTTCAAATTTGTCCAGTTATTTAACTTTGGAGTAAAATTAAGGTTTTTTGCTCCCCACAGCTTTGACAAAACTCAATTTCTTTTTAATTTTTTTCCAATCTGATAGGTATAATGTTACTTTGTGTTTCATTATTTCATTACTCATAGAGAAACTGAATGATTTTCATGTCATTTCTTTGGAATTGAAATTGAGGTCCTTTTGTCCTTATTCAGTTTCTTATTGATTTTTAAGAGAATTTGTGTTAATTCTAAACCTGTTTTACAAGATAGCATATTTCAAATAGGCTTAAGATTTTAGTATGAAGAGCAGTTTATATGTGTGGCGTAGCTTTTGAATTTATCCAAATCCTCAGGCAGGTTATGAGTAATATATTTTCTATTGCAGTCCTATCATACTATTTTAATTCCTGTATTCTCTGTTAGATTCTAACCTCAAGGTTGGCCCCACGTTTCTTTTGGTGCTTGGCATATAGTAGTTTCTCAGTAATTATTTTTGAATAAACTACATATAGGGAATTTGTGTCTGTTAGGCTATGTGTTCTGATTCATTCTCGTCCAGAATTTATTCTTTCATTAAAGTACTCCAGTTTCTCAGTACAGCTGTTTGCTTTTATATCAGAAGGAAAATATTGTCACTGTATGATTCATTCTTCTATGTATTGCTACTAATGGACACAATTAGATTTATAAGAATTCTTGCTGTGTGTAGGCTTTTGTTAATATAGATCAGACAATGTTTGTTTTTGATGCATGTAGTAAGCTTTTTTTTATATTTTTAGGAGCCCTATATGGAAGGTGTCAATCCTTTCATCAAAAGTAACAAACATCGTATGATCATGTTTTTAGATGAACTTGGGGTATGTATATAATTTTCAAATACTTTCAAACCTATAGTTAGTATAGCTGAGAGTTAACTCATTTTACCAACAACCTTTTAAAAAGATTTTCTATCCAGAACCAAAAAAAAAAAAAGGGCATATTTTTGTCTACATTCCTAAACAAATTATTTTGTTTGACTATAGTTTTTAGCCATTTGTTCTTAACCAAGCATACAAACACTGTTGGAGGATTTCAACTTGTGCCATTTTCTAGTTTCTGTCTTTCATAATCCTATTAGCTGTTACACCTCACTATTGTGACATTCTTTGGCCACTTTAGCTACTTTTACTTGGTTGCTATTGTGTGGAATTTGAAACAAGATGGATGGCCCACAGTTCTCACCAGGTTAAATAAGTAAATGGACTGTATTTAATCCAGATTAGCAGTTAATATTACTGTTTGTTTGGCATGTGTTCCAGATTTAACAACAACATAAAAAACTTTATAAAGTTTAGAAAACCCATTTATTTAGAATAGCAATCATTCTGCCATGCTGTGGAAGAAAATAGAACCTGGTTTTGATGTGACTACTGAGGCAATAAAATCTATTAATCAGAATAAGCACTGAATATTAAAATTCTTAGGACATATTAAAATGTAACAAGTTTAAGAGAACATTTTAATATATTAAATTTTAAGAGAATATTATGTGTTAAAAATTCTATGTATTATAACCAATTAGGATCTTTTCAGAAGAGACTATAAGATTTCTCTTTCTAAACGCAGTTTTATAATTTCCTTTAAAGAATGTACCTGAACTTCCAGACACTACAGAGCATTCTAGAACTGACCTGTCCCGTGATTTAGCAGCATTGCATGAGATCTGTGTGGCCCATTCAGATGAACTGCGAACACTCAGTAATGAGCGTGGGGCACAGCAGGTAGGCTTTGCCAGTCGTCTTCATTAACAATGGTTCCTTAGCATTTAAGCAGAAGGGAAGCATAAGACTCTGCGAGGTAATAAATAGCTTAATTATGGTCAGCCTTTTCATTGTATTATCAGTTATATTACATTTTAAAGAATCTGAACCATAATCTAGTAAGATCTCAGCAGAGAGGAATCATGAGCTCAGACTAAGATTATGTATTTTTGATACTGCAAAATGTCAACTCTTGCACTTGAGTCTAAATCAGTGTTAACTCTACTGAAAAATGATGTTCACTTCAGTGGCATGTGAGCTAATAAGTCAATAGCAATATGGCTTTTTTCTTTCTCTCTGACACAAAGAGTACATGGCCAAGTGAATCACACACTTATCAAACACATGAGAATTATTCAGGAAGTTGGATGAAAATATTTCAGGCTCCATAAATTCTGGAATATGACCTTATTAGAAATGGCAATTTCTAATAAGCTATTCCTGACTACTGTCACTATATTGACCACCCGCTTGGCAGGGACTTAACAGAAGAGATTAAATAAGGACTTGAGTTTGGCGATTCTGAGTTTTCTTCAACCTGAGATCCAAAAATCAAGTTTACATAATAGTCTGGCTTATTAATGTTCTAATCACTTTAAAAACTTAGAGTGTGTACCATGGGCCTACTTATGTGCCCTTGGCATGTGTCATGTCTTCTTGCCACACTGGGGCTGGGTTTATTATTTTACTTGCCTTAAAATCCTTAATGGAGGATTTAGTCCAATTAAGACTTTTTAAGAAAGGTAAAGGTGCTGTTTTAATTTTAGGCCCAATGTAATCATATTTCTTCCATGATTCTTTAAAGTGTTCACTAGACTGCAAGCTAATTTCCCTTGCATGATCTCATTGGGCACGTATGTAATTTATAAGGATAAATCTGTCTTGGCAAGATGTTCTATCCTAGAGATTGTTCTGGCCTAAGTAGATATGAGAATGCCAAACAAATGAATTTCTATTCACTTTGGCATACAAATATTCTATCTGAAGAAAAATTCAGTCCTTATAATAGAAAAACTTTACTATTCTACTGAAAGCATAAAATTGTGAATGTTACAGCTTTTTTCAGATACAAGTTTCCATCCCTAAACTTTCTGACCAAGCTTTCCATTCATTTACTAATTACTTTCATACTGTTTTTTTCCTTCTCTAGCATGTACTGAAAAAGCTTCTGGCTATAACAGAATTGCTTCAACAAAAACAAAACCAGTATACAAAAACCAATGATGTGAGGTAGCAGCCTTCGCCCAAGTGTTCTGCATGGATTCAGCATGCCCAACATGGTAATTCACATCAGTATGTCTCCTTTGCTCTTGCCAAAAAATAGCACACCTTTCCACATTCCAGTGATGTGTGAGCTATGCAAACAAAACCCTAGATGCTGCTGGTGAATAATTGTGCCAGCAGCTTTGTAAGCTATCTGTGCAGGATATTTGCACTTTTTCCACATATGGATTCAATCTTTACCAACCTCTGAGCCTTGGTGTACAGATCACCTTTCATTCAACAAAATGCTATGACTGTATCTTGAACTCTGAGAATATATTTTCAATACATCCAATTGCCAAAGTTTTGCTGTCTCTTGGAAAAAGAACTATGAAATCAACTGACAAGAAAAAGCATTCTCTGTTGACAATTGAGTATAACTGGATTGCAGACTGTTCTTACTGTAACTTCCTGATTTAGGAATATGACCGTTTGACTGTTTAATGACTTTTATTTGTATTTACAGTTTCCAGAGTTTGCCATTATAATAGGAACAATCTTTGCTGTATACTTTTTAAAATACTGTGCTATTTCTCTTGCTGGAACTGTTCAAAGAAAATATATAGGATGGATGGATCTATTGCTCATCAGCTTTATTTTTTAAACATGCCACTTATTTTGTTCAAATTGTCAAAAACTATTTAGATTTCATAATGCTTTTGTTAAATGTTTACATCAGTAAATAGTTTGAATTCAATAAATATTGGTCATTGTACTGATCGATGCATGTTACCCATTCAACCATTTTATAGAATACCAATTTCTTGTGTTAAAAAAATCTAGAATGCTTTTTGTTCAAAGTATTCATTAATTCCAAGTTGATTTTTTCATTATGCAAACAACCTCATCAGCCACTTAACAGCTATCCATCTTTGAACTGACTACTTGTTGTATCTGCTGGGTATTTAGTTTGTATAGTTTTATTTGCTTCTGTATGTGTATTTTTGTGAAGTATTCACAAGGGTTAAGTTAAAATAAAACCAAGGGATATCTTAAATAATTGATTACTTCTGTCTAAATACAGGTAAGTATTTAATCTCATTTTCTTCCTCCTTCAGGGGCAGTTCAAATTTAGTACCAGAGCAAGGCCCAGGGAGAAGATGTAAACTTCAGATCGTCTTTTTTGCTAATGGTCTTTTGAAGGATTCCATTCATTATGTATTTAAGCAACAATTCCTTCACTCCCATAATTGTGCAGGGGAGAGGAGGCATACAAAAAGTATGTAGGAGTATATCAAAGTGGGCAAGACAGGAACCAAGGGGGGAGCTATTAGGAAAAACATTTCCCAAAGTAAAGAAATTTTCTAATGGCCTAGATTCCCAGAGTACTCCTAACACTTAGTATTCTATCTCTGATTAAAATATAGGAAAAAAAGTGTTAAATAATCTAGGGCTTAAAAGATTTCTGCATAGTATATTTTTAAACTCTTGTTTCTGTGGAGGAAGGTAGCCCTGGTGTAGCTGGAATCACAGTTGAACAGTGATAACCAAAAACTCAACACACCCTGTACTCCTTTTTCTTGATGTTGATGTCAGCTAACCCATGTTTCCCTCGTTTATCATATCACTTTCCTCTTCTCCATCCCTCCTGCTTTTCTAGCTGTAGTACCACAGTACTGTCCCACTTGGTCTCCTTCTTTGGTGTTACAGGATAAAGGATTGGAAGAGGTATGGGTACTGACATCTGAAAAAATTTCAACAATATACAAAAAGGTACAAAACCCCATGCTAGACAATTTGGTTCTCTCTCACTAATCAGACCTCAATCGTATCTGTCATTCCTCAATGTGAATTGTTAATCTCCCTCTTCTAGCTTTTGAAAACAAAAACAGGGCCAGCCGAGTGGCACGTTGGTTAAAAGCTGGCTTGGAATGCCAGTTCTGAGTAGCAGGGCTACGGTTTGGATCCCACATGAGGGCCAGTGACGCTGCGCCCTCTGCAGCTAAGATGGTGAACGACAGCTCGGTCTGGAGCTGGGCTGCCGTGAGTTGCCGGTGACGGCATAGGCTGCAGCCCCTGCTGCAAGCTACTGTGAGTGGCTGGCAGCCAGCATGAGCAGCCAGCAGCTGGTGTGCGCTGCTGTGAGCCACCATCTAATGGGCGGTGAGCAACTGCCTCACCTGGGAAGAGCGCAATGATAATACCAACATGGGCCAGTGAAGCGACGTCCTCCACAACTAGACTGAAGAACAAAATGACAGCAATGACAGCAACTAGTCTGTTCCCCTCCCTCAGTTCCCCAATCAAAAAAAAAATTTTTTTTTAAACAAAAACCCCACAAACCTAAAACATAAAGCCATCCTGCTTTTTGTATTTTAATGACATGTTTCTCTCAAGCTAGAACAGGAAACTTGTCATTTACCTTTATAGGCCTTGCAGTACTAGCTAGTCAATGATGAAATAAAACCTCTAAAACGGGCTGGGTAGGAAAATCTGAGATAAATGTGAGCCTTGCTCTGATGCTAAAGTTTAGTTACCTGAAAGAAACAAGGTAAACTGAACAGTTTGCAATTCTGTCTACAGCCAAGCAGCACTGCTACTTAGCCTGGACTGGACCACTGTCAATTTAGGCTTACGCCACTTTTGTAAAATCGCACTTGATGAATTTTATTCCTTTCATTCTACAATGAGAAGGACACTGAAAACAAACCAAAATGTAATTATTACAGAGAAGAATACAGACACGTAGTAAATACAGCCCTCAGGTATTAAAGATGTAATTAAAATGGTACCTCTACTCCTATGGGCAACGCAGCCGGGGATGCATTGACAATGAGAAGGATGTATCCATAAAACTTAGATTCAGGGCATTTGAGATGCTCAAATTTCCTTCAACCCAGTTTTCCAGAAAAAAATTGAGACGTCCATAATCTGGATCCAGCTTAGAAACTGAATAAGATTACAGTTAAACAAATGCCATAATAGCCAACATTTATTGAACACTTAGTATATAGAGGCACTATTCTGATTAGTCCTTTGAGAAGTAGGCATTATTATTTTCCCCAGGTTCACCCTGGGAAACGGGCACAGAGAGCGTCAGTAACTTGCCCAAGTCATAAGGTAGAGGTAGCCATGATTCATACCCAAGTAATTTGGTGCCATAGTGCTTTTATATTTTTATATCAACTCCTTTTAACTTGAATTAAATTTCTTGAGTATAGTAACACATTTATATGGATTCACTTAGGTATTAATCTAATAGGTTAATTATATAACTGAACATACAACTTGCTACTACCTACCTTAAGGTTTTTATCTAGACAACTAAAGACTGCCTACTTGATTTCTTATTTTTTTAAAACACCCATTTGAAAGTTTTTCAGTTAACTAATTGAAGAAAACAAATACTCGTTACCCTGGATGACTAGTTTTCAGAACCAGGTAACAGCTGAAGTACATTCTGTAGTTCACTACTAATATACAAATAGCTAAGTGTATCAGGATGGCATTTGAGAAGCCATTTATAAAGGTTTCTAGAGGGCAAGAAGCATTCCTTAAAACACATTCCAAGTGTTTTTCATGGTGCCTTTTTTCAAAAGGGTGTTTGCTTATTGCATTTTAAAACAATATAGGCAAATAAATTATAGCTTTAGTTTGGCTACTACAGAAAGTCTAATTTGATATTAGTCATGGTGTGGCAAGATTATCCAAACTAGGTGTTATTCTGGGTCCTCTGAAGCTGTTTTATTTCACATAAAGCCACCCTGAAAGAAAAAAATTAAATATAAAAGTTTACTGTATTTTGATGCTTTCACATTATTTCACTTTTAAATAAATTGAAATGCCAGATATGCTTCATCCTTCTGTTGATTTGTTAGCATTGACAAGTCTCTTTCAAATGGTTACACAGAATCTACAAGGTCATCATCCGTCCATTCTTCCTAAGGAGGAAAGAAAATGTAGTAAGAACATTATATTGACGCATAACCACTATTTACCTCCTTGCCTCCCTTTAGGAAAAATGTTTCTTTTACCCTGATTACAGAAGGTAGGTAAACCAGGAAAATGTATAGTGGTTTCATCTTATAGTAATATACATATAGCATGGTGTCACCAGACTACTCCAGTGACAGAAATAAAGGTTACAGTTATGACCATCTGCCTCTGATTATTCATTTATATTTGATTTGCCAGGTATATATATATATATTTTTTTAAATAAAAGGATAGAAAAATCATTGGAGAGTAAAAACTGGAGCAAAAATTTAATATATGTACATTATCCCTGCTGCTTTTTACAATCATAGAGAGGATCCTTCATCAAGTAATTCTTAGACTGTTACAGAACAGATGATAAGTCAGAAGTGAGAAAAATCCCTGTAATAATGGACAATGTACATAAAGTGGGATTAAAAAAAAATGAAGGCTTTCAAAACCCACACCTCTATATATTTAATGCTTGCACTCTGGAACAATAAAATCTTAACAGTGTGGTCGTCACACCAGAATGTACAATAACTTGATAATTACCTTAGGAGAACATACCTCCTCATGTTTGGATTTCTTTGAGACATAATCATCATCTTCATAGCCTTTCCTCTTCTTCCTGTAATTAGACAACCATCAATAAACAGTCTAATAACTGGCAACATAACTAAACTAGCAAGGCTATATGAAATGCATATCTGCTGAAGAACAAAGCCTGGATAATGGGAAGAGATGGAGAATTATGGATATGAAGACACTACCTTCCAAATCAATCTCTTAATTAAAATCCTAATAAAATTTTTCATGGAACTTGTCTAGGCTAACTCTGATCTGGGAAAGATTATGCAAAAATAACAAAAAGAACTTGAGAAAGAACAAAGTGTGGGGACTGTGTCCCAGTTCTCATCAAAACACTATAAGAACCATAGTAATTAAAAGTATGGTATTAGCAAAGTTAAACATTAAAAT